AACCCAAGCCCAAAATTTTGAGTCAAATTCGTGGAGTTATCATGCTGGGTCATTTATTGACCCTCTTAATTATTATTGTTGTTAATATTACTGATTACTAGTTGTCACTTGGTGATATTTGGATGAAGATTCCCTCTCTCTTGCTCTCTCCTTTTTTGTGATCCAAGCTTCTCCATCTTTAGTTGGTGTAATCTTACCAACTAAGATGACCCAGTGGCTCAGATTGAATGTTAACTCTATTCTTCTAGTATTGGATTCATGTTAACTCTATTCTTCTAGTATTGGTTTCGTCTGGTCTCTTGAAATTGTCATGATTGAGGTTTAAAGCTTGGATTGGAAAACAAAGTGATTGGCATAAACTGATGCTTAAACTCAATCTTTGATGCTTAAAGTCAATCTTTTGATGGACCAGCCGATTTGATTGGGAGGGAATTAGGAAGTGTCCTAATCAAGAAGGAGCTGTTTAGGAATGTACTTAATCAAAGGGGAATAATTAGGAGATGTTTCCTAATTAAAGTGAACATATTTGGGGCTGATTTAGAGGGGATTAATTAGAAAATATTTCCTAATTGAAGAAGGCAGATTTGAGGGTTGATTTGGACGAAATTAATTAGTAAATATTTCATAATTGAAGATGACATATTTGGGGGCTGATTTGGAAGGGATTAATTAGAAAATATTTCCTAATTGAAGAGGACAGATTTGGGGGTTGATTTGAGTATTGATTTTGGGGGGAAATAATTAAGGAAATAGGAGGGAATTGAGGGAGGCTGTTTAGGTATTTGTAATTTATTGTTTGCTTTAAGTAGGTAATTTTTCTAGGGTTGAGGGTGTGTGTTGTTTAATTTAGATTATTCTTAGGTTTATTGGGCTCTAGCTAGTGGCTAGGGAATTGGAAAAGTTGGATCTTCCTCTCCAATTGAAGATCCATTGTATCTTGTTTGTTTTTCTTCACATATCTTGCCATAAAAATAGTTTTTCCTATATTTCTTTCGAATTTGTATCACAGTTCGCTAACTTTATTGAAATCACATTTATTTCCTATCAAATTAGTATTAGAACACTTTTTTGGGACCTATGATGGTGAATAAAGTTGATACCTTGTAAGATCGTCTTAAAAGAAAAGGTTGTCAACTCAAATCGGAATTTGAGGACAAAATGTCATCAATGGAGGAAAAGTTTTTCAAACTAGAAGGAATGATAAAGAAGTATTTCTTCTTGTCAAAGGACATTATCAGCATCAACAACATTCAATTCCTATCAAGCAAAATTGTCAACAAAGCATGAACAAATTTGCTAGAGTAGTTAAATCTGATGCAAAATTTTGTTTAATAAATTTTGCTTAGACCGGGCAAAATTCCAAAGCCTCTGTAGTTTTTCTATCTCAAGTGAACAAGAATTCAATGACCTCACCTTTAGAGAATATGGTTCCTGTCAGCTCAACATTTCCAATTACATTGCAGATGACATGAAGGTGATTTTAAAGCCACTTCTAAAGAGGGGAAAAGGTGAAGGAATGAGATTTTTGGTAGAGTGGCAAAGTTTGGAAGGCGAAGAAGATGGGGAGAAGATAGAAAAACCAAACATTGTTCAACTACTCATGCAGCAGTATCGAGAGGTGTTCCAGCTAGTTTAGAGGTTACCGTCAAGTAGTTTCACACAAGGTTTAAAATTGCGTAATTAAGCCTCAAGGCGTAAGCCTCGAGGCGGTGTGAGGTGTAAGCCTCATGGACGCAGAATTGCGTAAATGAGAATTTAAGGGTTTTAGCAGGTAAATAATAGCAAGATTCTATCATACAATAAAAACATCTAAATGACAAGTCAATTAGTGAAAATTAAGAAAATAGATGCAATAAGTCTTGCAATCAAAAATCCCCTAAAGATCAAGAAGTAAATAATTGAAGCAAAAGGCATATCTGAAAACAAGTCTTGAAACTCCTATTCTGAGCACATTAGAGAAGCTCAAAAACATATTCACGAGACGTGAACGACAGTAACTATTCAACCCTATCAAAATCTCTCCAAATCCAAATTGAGAAAAACACCTAAATCCACCACAACTCAAACTGCATCCTCATCTTAACAAAAACTGCCGCACACACTTCTTAAACACCAAAAGCAAGAAAATACAAATATGAAATGCAGTAGAAATAGAAAAACTTGATTCAAAGAAATAAAATCCATTTCATCCAATTAAACCGAAAACCAAACAGAACCCTGATAAAAACTCAAACACTCGCTCAAAACCAACAAAATCACAAAGCCCAAGGCCTCGAGAAAGCTACAGTATGTTTCATGAGGCGTACGCCTCACTCATAATTGAGCAATTGCGCCTCTGAGGCGCGCCTCAGACAAGGTGAGGCGTACGCCTCTGGCAGGAGCGGAATTGCGTAAGCCTCGAGGCGTTTTTGGGTCAAATTGCGCAGAGGCGCGCCTTTCTTATTGCGCAATTTTAAACAGAGGTTTCACATATCAATGTTTGTCCATTCCGTTATCCCCAACTCCAAAAGGATTAGATCGAGAGATTGATCAGGGAGATGTTGGAGGCAGGGATCATTCGACCCAGTGACAGTCTATTTTTCAATATAGTGCTATTAGTCCATTGCTAAAGCAGTTTGTTCCACCTTGAGGACAAGGTGACACTTTGGGAGGGGAGTATTGATGGACTAACCGATTTGATTGGGAGAGAATTAGGAAGTTTTCTAATCATGAGGGAGCTGTTTAGGAAGGTTTTTAATCAAAAGGGATTAATTAGGAGATGTTTTTTAATTGAAGAGCATATTTGAGGGCTGATTTAGAGGGGATTAATTAGAAAATATTTTCTAATTAAAGAGGGCAAATTTGGGGGTTGATTTGGAGGGGATTAATTAGAAAATGTTCCTAATTGAAGAGGGCATATTTGGGGGTTGAGTGTGAAGGGATTAATTAGGAAATATTTTCTAATTGAAGAGGGCATATTTGATGACTGATTTGGGAGGAAAATAATTAAGGAAATAAGAGGGAATTGGGGGAGGGCTTTTTAGGTATTTGTAGTTTATTGTTTGTTTTAAGTAGGTGATTTTCCTAGGGTTAGGGGCATGTGTTGTTTGCTGAATTTAGATTATTCTTAGGTTGATTGGGCTCTAGCCAATGGCTAGGAAATTGGGAGAGCCGGATATTCCACTCCAATTGAAGATCACATCTACTTCTTATCTTCTTCGTTTCCATTAATCTTCACTTTTTCTTTTTTCTACAAAATCTTGACCAATGGGAAGATCTACTTGTTTGGGCTGGACTTCGCAACAACATTCACTATACTAGATTTAGGCTTTGCTTGGGATGACTTTTTTGCTGCTTCTTAAAACGGTCTTTTATTACAAAAATTAAAATTTTTCATATTAGAAAATTGCTTTATGAAGCAATAAAAAAGCCATCCCAAACAAAACCTAAATATTACTACTTAACATGAACGGGAGGATTCTTTGTTTAAGTTATGATGTGTTTTTTGAAGGGTTGATGATTGGTGATATTCTGAAAACTGAGAAAAATCTTAAAACTTTGATCAAGTTAACATTCATTAGAAATGAAGATGATATGATTTTAGTTAAGATGAAGACATTAAGGATTCATGATGAATTCTATTTTGAGAAATTATTAAATGACAGAAATTTAGAAATTATTTTGAAAGCTCATAACAAATATAATAATGAGATTATTGATTTATTCAATTAATTAAAGTTATTTCTGAAGAGAGGATGCATCATCATAAAGTTAAAATACGAGATACCTTGTAAGAGTTGGAAAGTTAGGGCGAGTACTTTTATTATTTAGTTGACAAATATTTTCAATGAAATATTAAGAATAAGACAGACAAAAAAGATTGCAGAAGTATTTTGATACTTGATTAAAACAAAGGAGATGTTTAAGATAATGTTAATGATAAATGAACCAAACTTCTAAGCCGTCTAATAAAATTGTGGGGATAGAATAATGGAATTTAGACTTAGCAAATTCTTCAATTTTAAATAATCAGTTTCCTTTCATGATAGGAAGGTCGGTATTCAAAGTAAGATGGTTTGGTATATACTTTTTATAGATTATATAATTTCAACCAATTAAATATTTGCTTAAATATGTGAAAAGTTATAGTTATGGAGAAAATGTTTAGATGATGAAGATCGGAGGATTAATAGAACAAAGGCTTAGTGTATGATATGCTATTTTGGAGGTGGGATGTTAATGATTATCAGTAAAGCACAGTAACTTTTAAGTATTTAGATCTATTTTATTATGACATAGAGAAGTAAACAACTTGTAGAGTTAAGAATTGATGCTTAAAATGAAGAAGTGCCTCATGTCTCTATATAAGAAGGGCATATCATGAAGTCTTAAATGATTATATTAGAGGAATTGTGCTAGACTGATCCAGCCGGTTCATACGGGATCGGCTCAACGTAACATAGGTGAAAGAGTCCGCCTCCTGTATGAGCCGCACAAGCCGCAAGATCGAAGGGAGCTGTTTTGGAAGGATTTTTGAGGGAGTTAGGAGGAATATTTGAATGTAGGGAGTGTTTAGAGATTTCCTTTTTGATTGTATGCATTAAATACTTTGTTTTCCTAGGGTTAGAACATCTTGAATTTGGTTGAAATTTAAGATCTCTTAGTTTTTTGGGCTCTAGCGGCGTCTAGAGATTTGGGAGAGATATATCCTCCTCTCGAATAGAGGATCAACATGATTTGTGAATGTAGTTAGCTTTTGCAACACTCGACAAGAAAGAATGAAGCATAAGAATTCATGAAGCCGCTGCTAAATAATTTAGGTGATGATACTAATGATGACAACACTGAGCTCATAACTTTTAGTTCTGTGGACTTCAACAATTATGAACCCCCAAGCTCCTTTCATCCTAATCTCTCATGTCCCTTCTCTTTTCAGGATTAATCCTATAGTTAATGTTTAGAATATGTTGTATAGAATTAGCCCGTCTTTAACCGAACAATGCCATCTTAAATCATTTCAGATCTTCGTGAAGACAACCAATTCTTTATTGACCACCCAGGTGCTCTTCCGATTACCACCGCACAGGTAAAGCAAGGGGAATATATGCCTCCACTACTATGTCACCACATTGCTTTTGTTATTAAATTAACTTCGGCTTTATTTGGGACAGCTTTCGTACTACTTTTTAAAGCAGTTTTCTAGTACAAAAAATTTCAAATTCAAGAAATTTTTGTACTAGAAAGCTGTTTTAGAAAGCAAGAAGAAAGCCGTCCAAAACGAAGCCTTAATTGCTTACATGATGTTAATTTGAAGGGCGAAGAGCTTAAGAGGAAAATCAATGCTTCTGCCTATATTGAATGCAGCTCAAAAACACAGCAGGTGTGGGCCTAATCCTTAATCCACTATGCTAAACCTTTAAAATAGCAACAATGTTAAAATTTCCCTTACTGAAAATCTGTATATATTCTGGACAGAATGTGAAGGCAGTCTTCGATGCGGCCATTAAGGTAGTTCTTCTGCCACCCAAACAAAAGAAGAAGAAGAAGAAGAGAAAGTCAAAGAAGGCATGCCCCATTTTGTGAGGAAAAACAAAGTGCAGGTAAGGATAGCCGGCAGCTTTTGCTTGTTGAAAATCTCATTATATTTGTTTAATTTAAAAGAAAAGACGCTGCTTGCTTTTGTGTATATTCAACTAACAACAGCATGGTCATATTAAGATTTCGTTTGGGACGATGTTTCTATTGCTTCTTAAAGAAGCTTTTTAGTACAATTTTTTTTTAATTTTTGTACTAAAAAATTGCTTCAAGAAACAGTAAGAAAGCTGTCTTTGTTTGGGACGATGTTTCTATTGCTTCTTAAAGAAGCTTTTTAGTACAATTTTTTTTTTTTAAATTTTTGTACTAAAAAATTGCTTTAAGAAACAGTAAGAAAGCTGTCTCAAACGAAGCCAAAGTAAAAGCACTATTTAATGGTGGTGTATTTCGTTTACTTGGCACTTATTTTTTGTCGCTGCACAATTATAATTTGAAAAAAAAAGTTGGGAACTCCTGACGAGGTTTGTATAATTGTTTAGGTAATTGTAAGATGAATGAATATATTATAATTTTTTATTAATTATAGACCTGTGACATTTTATTAAATCCTCCTGGTTTGAAATATCGTCAACTTACTGTGCTTAATGTATGAATAAGCTTAATCAATTTGTCCCATTGAAGCATGAAAATGATTATTTTAGCACTATTTAGGTTTCGTTTGGAATACTTTTGATGTTTACTAAAATAAATTTTCAGAATTAAAAAACAGCTTTATAAAGCTGCAAAAAAGTTGTCCATGACTTTCTTACTGCTATTTGCAATATTTTTTAGTAAAAATTCTTTAAATTAGTTTAGAATATCTCAATAGTCTTAAGTGTAAATGAATTGACTATCTATCAAATTTAGCTAAACTAATTTAATTCTTACACGAGCTCATTTATTAAGCTTGAATTTAGTTTGTGAGAAATTTATTTTGCTCGAGCTCGGCTCAATTACTCAAGTTCGATTAGAAAGCTCATATTTGACTTGAGAAATAGTTAAAATACATTTAATATATATATTTTTATATTATTATGAAAATTAATTTTGAAATATATTTAAATTTAAAGTATCGGCTCGAAAAGCTTATGAGTTGAGTTGGGCTGAGCTCGAGTATAGGCTCAAGCTCGAACTTGTATCTTGATAAGCTTGTCTTATGAGCTTTTTAATAAGTCAGAGTTCAAGCCAGCTCACTTACACTTCTATGTATTTTGCCAGAAAAAAATAAAAAAGAATCACACATTAATTAGGTGTTATTATCTCCCTAAGAAGTCTCACCAATTCACAATTAGGTAGGAGCATCCTTTTAGTGAGAGCCATAAATCATTAATCAACAACATAACTTATAGGTGTGAATAGGAAGAGCATAGGGTGGGCAATTGCCCATCTTGAAATCTTTTTATTTATAAGAATAAATATATTAATTATTTTTCTCACCTTCATAAACGCAGTTACCTAGTTCTAAGAAAAAATATATTTTTTTTATTTCATATATATATAATTACGTATTTCATAATCTTATTTTACTCACGCTAAAAAAAGAGGCGGGTTCCATCTCCGAACATGAGAAAATTGTTTGTCGAGCTTAAAGGAAATCACTAGCCTAGCATGAATGAATGGTCAAATAATTGAATAGCTAATCAATAATTTCTCAAAAGTTGTTCACTTGAAATAGTATTCCAAAAGACTTGGTAATACTTTTTCCTTTTTCAAGATTTTCACCCAAAAATTTATGTGATCTAAACTCTATTTATCTCTTTTATTTTATATTTACAGTGATTTATAGCTTAGAGAAGAAAATATTTGCTCTCTATTAAAATAATTGTTTGACACAAACTTAATTTTATTAATAAAAATAGCCTTTCAATATAAAGAGGAATAAAAATTGTTAGGTAAACATTATTAAATTTATTTTAAAATTAATATAATATATTTCAATATAACTATGGGCCGTTGTTGGCCGGTGCGTGCGGTCGGGTTCGAGAGAACCGAAGCTGGGATTTTTTTCCGTGTAAAACTCGTCGCTATAAATCATTAAATATTGAAAGGATCGCCTTTACTCATTCCTTCTGAAAGCTTCCTCTTCTGCAATTTTGATGGTTGGGTCGTATAATTGAGGTGAGCAATCCCTTCGTTGTTATTTGATTTTGCTCAATGTACTTTTTTTTTTGTTTGTTTCTTAATTGAGATCCCTTTCAAATCATTGTCATATCGGTGTTATTGTCGGTTTCATGTGGATGGGTTTGATCTAGGGTTTAATTTCTTAAGTTGCGTAAACGTTTGCTCTGCTCGTTTATTAATGAGCGATAGCGGAATTATCTAAGAGGGTTTGATTTCTTTCGGAAAGAAATTGTGTTATTGACGCAGAATAGTATTCAGACGTACCTTTCTGTATCAGAATTCTTGTAATTTCAATATTCAAAACTTCTGCATTAACAGTTAGATTTGTAAAATACTTAGCACTTTCATATTTCCCAGTGTTTTAAGTAGAGGCCTTTCCTGTATTAGTTGTTTTGAGACTTGTGATTTCTTTATTATTAATATTTATTTTTAATTTGTTCCTTTCTTTAACGAGATTTGACTTTTCTGTTCTTCAATTAGAGTTTGGCTTTCAAGCTACTTATTCAAACGGATCTGGTGGAGGTTGGATAAGTTGATGATGGATGTTTTTATGCGCAATCTATTATACCATTCATTTGTTGTTTATTTCTTGTAAAACCAATGCTACATGTATTCTCATATTTGTTAGAGGAAATTTGGGTTGGGACATTTGATTAAATTTTGGTTAAGATTTGATTTATTTTGAGTGCAACTTCTAGATCATAATAATAAAAAAATTTAGTCAAGATACGCTGAGCCAAATTTTTTCCTTATTTGTTGGTTCCAGCAAAATATTACTAATTAATATGTTACTGTTTCATTATCACATAGCTGTTGCTCATGTTCTTGGATATAAATATTATAGTTAGTTGTTCAGGAAAAATATAATGATATAATTTGTTTTATTTAGGCAATTGAATTTGTTTGAGTACATTTTGACTGTAGATGAATTATTGAAATTTCTGGAACTCCTACTATTGGTGTACCTTCTATAATCCTTTCTTTCGTCTTCCTCTAATTTGAATATTCCTTGATAGGCCAAAACTGTGCTGATCTAAAGGTGAAATCCTAATTTAAACTGACCCGAAATGTTGGTTAGGATGGTTATTACAATTATTATGTTTACTATGAGATGACTTCAAACATATTGTACTATTTTGGAGGCCATCATGATAAAAAATTTGTTCAAAATATCTTTAGTCAAAATTTTTACATATTTATTGGTCCCAGAAAACTACTTTTTTTAATATGCGTGGCAATTTTATTATCACATGGTTGTTGCTCGTGTTATTTGATTTAGATATTATATTTATTTTCTCAGGATAAGGATAATCATATATTGTGTTTATTTGGTTCATTCAACTATGTTCGATAGGTACCCTTTGACTTTAGATGGATAATTGAAATTTCTGAAACTGCTGCTATTGGTGTTCCTTCAATGACCATCCTTTGTTTCTGAATATACGAGACTGGCTTCCCTGTTATTGCTATAAATACCTTTTATGGCTCTCTTTTTTATAGTCCTTGATAGCCAACACCTGCTTCTGATCTACGGTGAAATCTTTATGATTCTCATCTTTTTTTTTTTTTCAGTTTTATTTGCTTTATGGTAGGAAGTTTTCATATATAAGTATTCATAGCTTAATTGTTTCCTTTATCAATTTATAGCTTAATACCTTTTAACTACGTTTAGTTGTGCGGGGCCGTTCCAGTATAGCTAACACGCAATTATTTATTCACCGTTTCCTTTTCAAGTTATTGCTTTTATTTTAGGGGCTGTTTGGTAGCAGATGCGGATTTGAGCAAAATCCAGCCAAACGGCCTAAAATGCAAAACCAAATCTCACAGCAAATGAAAGCCGCCACAGACGGAAAATTCCGCCTTTTGGTGCTAAATCCCTGATTTCCGAAATCCTATTTCTTGTCGGATTTACGAAATCCATTGGCTCGAGAGGAAGAGTCAGCTCGTTAAATCCGCTCCATAGTCAAACAGTCACACGGGATTTAATAGGATTTATCATGTATGTTACCAAACAGTTTTCAGGATTTAGGCCTCTAAGGATTTCCAAAATCCGGATTTAGAGGATTTATGAAATCCTACTTAAATCAAATCCTAGATGATACCAAAAAACCCCTTAGTGTTTTGTTATTTCGTCCAGAATATTGCATTTAATTTGCCTAAAATATATGCATAAGGAATTCCTTATAGCAGAAAGCAAAGTAATTTGGGTTTCTTTGTTTTGATTATACTTTCTTCTATAGAGGAGGTTGGGGC